TCTTACACTGGTAAGAGTGGCCAAGATCAAAAACACTGATGACAACTTATGCTGGAGAGGTTGTGGGGTAAAGGGAACACTCCTCCATTGCTGGTGGGAATGCCAGCTGGTACAGTCCCTTTGATATCAGTATGGCGATTTCTCAGAAAATTAGGAACAACCTTTCTTAAGACCCACCAATACCACTTTTGGGTATATAACCAAATGATGCCCAAGCATACCATAAGGACATGTGCTCAACTATGCTCATAGCAGCATTGTTTGTCATAGCCAGAACCTGGAAACAACCTAAATGCCCCTTGCCTGAAGATAAGGAAAATGTGGTATATTTACACAATGGAGTACTACATAGCAGAAAAAAATAATGACATCTTGAAATTTGCAGGCAAATGGATGGAGCTAGAAAACATCATATTGAGTTAGGTAACCCAGACCCAGAAAGACAATTATCACATGTACTCACTCATAAATGGTTTTAAAATATAAAGCAAAGAAAACCAGCCTACAAATCACAATCCCAGAGAACCTGGACAACAATGAAGACCCTAAGAGAGAGACATACATGGATCTAACCTACATGGGAAGTAGAAAATGATCTCCTGAGTAAATTAGGAGTATGGGGACCATGGGAGAAGGTTAAAGGGGAGGGGAGAGGGAGGGAGGGGACCAGAGAAAAATGTATAGCTCAATAAAATCAATAAAAAAAGAAATATTAAAAAAAAGAAAATGTGTGCACTTAACTTTCTAAATAACAACCTTCTATGATACAATAGTTTAGGATCTTTTTTCCCTCCAAAATACAGTGGCTACTACAACAAACTTGTGAAATGAACAAAATTCATCTGAGAGGTGCTTTAGAACAGAGGGAAACAAAAATGCAAACACCCAGGATCGATGTCATCTTTGGTTATCATCTTCCTTCTTCTTCTCCTCCTCCTCCTCCTCTTCTTCTCTTTCTTTCTGCTTCATTCTCCTCTTCTCCTCCTTCTTTTTATTAGCACCCAGAAGGAATCAGATTCCAAATGATTCATGAATGGATTTCTTGACCAAAGCGAAATAAAAACATGAACAGCATAAACTCAGCTTTTAGACCACTCCACATCAAAGCTCAAACCTTTGTTCTTTTCCTCCTTCCACCATATTTTGCCTCCATCCCCTTGCCTATTTCTCCTTCCAGCCTTTCCTTTCTCTTGGACAGCCAGTTACCACAAACCCACTTACCTCTTAAAAATAAACTTCCACCAGAAGAGAGGGGGAAATATCTCAAGGGTACAGGTACACTTTGTTTTCATTCTCAGTTAAAAGCCATTGTTAATTGTGAGTTTAGAATTGTTTTGAGAATACATCTTCAAGATATATGCCAATTAATTCACTTGCTGGTTGGTACTTTGTGGGAATCAAGTGAGCCAATTAGCTTTTGGGGAACCAGTCCTTTGGGCAAGGTCTGAGGTGCCACGTGTCTGCTGATAAGTTGCTCAGGCAGTTTCCAAAACAGCCTTCCAGGAGAGGCCCTTGGAACCTGATGAGAGAACACTCAGTAGGTCTAGAAGCAGCTGTGTTCATTCTAGAAGTTCTGCCTGCGTGACTAGCTTCAAGAGAGAGAGAGAGAGAGAGAGAGAGAGAGAGAGAGAGAGAGAGACTCTTCCAGGGCTTGCAGAAATGAGAGTGGGAAACAGCCCTACAGCTAGACTTCCCAAACAAGGCAGGATATTTTGAAAGAGCCCTAGGACTGGGAAACTGAAAGTGGGGGTGGGAAGGGGCAAGTCACAAGTGAGGGTTTTAAGTTCCCATTTTATCCTTAAACTTCAGAAGAAAACTTGTCTCTCAAGATTAAAAGATAATCTTACAAATTCATGATTGACATAGGTACAATATTATTAATAAAGTAATCACTCTCCACTTTGGCACAGCACCCTGCTCAGGTGCTGGTGAGGGGCCCCAGAGCTTTGCAATTATTATGTGCATTGCTCTTCTTAGTGTCTCTTTAGATAAAAACAAAAAACAAAACCAAACAAACAAAACCCTTTACACTTCTATTTTTCTTCTCTAGAAGAAATCAGCACTGTATATGGTTTTTGTGCCTTGGAAGTCACTGAGGTACCCCTCTCCTTTTCCTAAGTGCCCAACCAAGAGCCCAAGAGCCAATTTTCCCTGAGAATCTATTCTTATTCAGTATGTAGGTGACCTTTTCCTGCACCCTACCAAGAAGGTGAGCTGTAAACCTGATTCATCCCTCTTACTTTAGTTGAGAGAGGACCCCTGAGTGCCATACACAGGTTGTTAAGTTGTAAGAAAGGCAAGATTTATTCCAGAGAGGTAAAACCAGCACTGGAAATGTTCCCAGACGAACTAGGGAAAAGAAAATGATGAGGGTGCTTGGCTCCTACTGACCATTGTAGGTAATTTTTGGATCCCAACTTTTCAGAAATCTCTATGTTGTTAATTTGACTTAACCAAGCCCGTAGGAACTTCTCCGCTGTGGATCCAAGTGTGAATAGGCTTTCTGTGAGTTAGAATTAGCTCTCAATACTGTGCATTTCTGGGCCTACCTAAGTATCATAAACCTTTCGAGGTCCAAGTATATGAGGCCCTTACCTTCATCAATACCATCAGTATCCTTACCTTCATCAGTACCCTTACCTTCATCAGTATCCTTACCTTCATAAGTACCGTCAGTATCCTGTTACAGCCTTTCTTGAAGTTCAGGGTCAAAACCCTTTCCCTTGTCTAGAGATAGCAACTAAGTTTACACTCAGATTGGCTTTCAGGTCTGCTTTAAGCTTTATGCCATAGTCTTTTTGTTGCTCACAAAAAAATACCCACTTCTGCCTATTGTGGTGTTACACACCTTTATTCTCAGCACTCAGGATGCAAATTTCTGTAAGTTCAAGGCCAGTTTGATCTACACAGTGAGTTCCAGGCCAGACAGGGCAACATAGTAAGACCTGTCTCAAACAAAATAAAACATTAATCCCTACCCTACTTCCTTCCGTGAACTTCATTTTCTTTCTTCCTTCCTTTCTTTTTTCTTCCTTTCTTTTTTATTTTTTTCCTTCATTTCTTCCTTTCTTTTTTTTCTTTCGAGACAGGGTTTCTCTGTGTAACTGCTCTTGGCTGTCCTGGAACTCACTTTGTAGACCAGGCTGGCTTTGAACTCACAGAGATCCACCTGCCTCTGGCTCCCAAGTGCTGGGATTAAAGGCATATGCTGCCACCACTGTCTGGCCACTTTTTTTTCTTTTTAGGATTTTTGCACTGTATCCTGGCTGGCCTGGAACTGTAGCCTAGGCTGGCCTACGATAAGAGGTGCTCACACCACACCCAACAAACACCTCTTTGCTATTTGCCTTTGTTCTCAGCAGAGGTTACTAATACAATCCCAGCTGCTCTTTGTTCTTTTAGAAGATCAGGGTCGTGGCTCTGCTGGAGAAATGTCAAGAAAGGGTCAGGCATGCGGAGGAGCAATAATTCTGAAGCATCAACTCCGTGTCTTTCCCCCATATTGACACACAAACCAAAGACAGGGTCAGAGAGACAAGCAATGATGCTTTCTACATCCAGTCCCCTAATACTTGCTGCCCTGGTTGACAAAGGAGTGGGAAGGAAAGAGGGGGTTCCTTGTTTCTCTAATACTACCCCCCCCCCCCCCCCATTCTGTCAATCCTTCTGCTCACTGTTGCCCCAGGGGTGACTGCCAGGAACAATCTGACTGGGCAAACTGACTATGTCCTCAGGCCAACCAAGTCAGTTTTTTACTCTCTGCCTCCTCCCTCCTCGGTGAAACCTAGAGCTGCTTTCTACGACAGGTACTCAGGGCTGCACATAGGGGCGGGGAATCTTGCCTTCCAGGAAGGAAGGGGCTGCATTTAGATGCCAGGGAAGATATCCACAGAGAAGCTGGGATTTGGGTCGGGATGGGCCCTGTGATGATGGACGTCGGAAGGCTGGGCTCCAATAAACCCGAAAACCTTCCAGTCTTTAGTCTGTTCTGAAACTTTAAGTGGTGAATTTCCCGACGATGAAGAACATGGAGTGGGAAGTACTCCGGAGAGGTAGGAAGCGATCAATTTCGAACTTCTGGGAGTTTACTAGGAAGTTTTTCTTAACCTCGGAAATTTCCGGACTGAGCCACACAACTAATTTTAACTACGGGCTTTGGAGGTTTTCGGTGTTGGCTGTGGTTTGAGTGACATCCTCAATTTCCATGCAAAACTAACAGCTCCAGTCTCAAGGAGGGCGAGGTGATGAAGCTAGCCATCAGGCCTGGTTAGCCCTGGTTCCACCCTCCAAGCCCCGCCCCGAGTCCTGTGAACTTCTGGGCACCGCTTGCCTTGAATCAAGCTGAGCGGAGTCGGGCGCTCCCCGCAGCTCTGATCAGTCTCTAGACACCAAAATGAAGTAGCAATACGTGAGAAAGCTGCTGGTTTAAGAACCCAGAGCAACAGATTAAACCCAGCCGCCTAGAGTAAGGAGTCCAGTGGAAAGAGGAGTCCCGCAGTTAAAACAAACGCAAGCCTTCTCCAAGCTGGGGGCGTCCGAACAGCCTAGGCACTTGGCCCGGCCAGTTTGTCCCCAGCCCCGCGGGCACGGCGCGTTGCATCGAGCCGGGATCCCCAGGAGCTTGGGGTTGGGGTAGTCCTGTTCGCCGCTCCTTGGATTTATGACGTGCCGGAGGCAGTGGCGGTGACGGGGCCACCACACAAAGCCGGGCGGTCCGGGAGGAGGACCCCAGGCCGAGAGTCCCGACGGGATGGGGAGGGAACAGGGAGCGAGGCGCCCCCGGGCGCCCGGGCTCCCCGCAGCATTAAAGTGAGCACTCAGACAGCGGCGGGGGCGCGGCGGAGGGCAGGCCGCAATCGCCCGGCGCGCGCCTGGCTGCTGTGGCCTCGCTGGCCGCCCGCGCGCCCGGCCCGGCGGGGGATAGCCACGCCCACTCGGGGGTGGAGCCGCGGCCCCGGGAGGCTCCGCAGCTGGCGACGCCCGGGCTCGGGGCGGGGGCTGTGGCAGCAGCTGCAGCAGCGGCGGCGGCAGCAGCGGCAGGAGCTGCTGCAGCAGCGGCGGAGGCTGCTGCTGGACTCTTTGGGGTCGCGCAGTCGCAGCCCCAGTCCGGAGGCTCCGGGCGGTGCGTTTGTTGCTGCGGCCGCTGCTGCTGTTGCAGACCACCGGCTGCCACCCGGGCCCCCGCTGCCACCGGGACCCCGGATGCCGTCTGCACTCCAGTTGACTCTGCCGGAGAGTGTGCCCCAGCCTGGACGCCGCCCCCGGCCTGGTCTCCAGTCCTCCGCCGCACCTCCCATGACAGCTCCCGCACGAAGATGGCTGCGAAGGGCGCGCACGGCTCCCACCTGAAGGTGGAGAGCGAGGTGGAGCGCTGCCGCGCTGAGGGCCACTGGGACCGCATGTTCGAGCTGGTCCGGCATCTGCAGACGCTGGGCATTTCCGGCGGCGGCGGTAGCAACCGGCGAAGCAGCCCGAGCGGCAGGTTCAGCTTTCTAGACACCGGTGAGTGAAAGAAGGGCAGGTTCGCCGACTGCGAGTGGGCGAAAAGCACCGCCTCCTTCAGGAAGCGCTGCTCGACCGACCGTACCGAGCGGCTCTGGGCGCTACCTTCCCGCAGCCGAGGCAGTTAGGAAAATCCCAAAAGCTGTGCTTCTGCCCTTTAAGGTCGTGTAGGTAACCCTACGGTGAAAATGGAGGTTTCTGTAGGTATCAGAGAAGTTCATTGGACGGGACTCTTGCCACCCTAAACTACCTAAACTCCCTCATGCTGAGTTTGTTCCTCCTTCTCTTATCCCTTCCAATAAAGTAGGGAATCGAGCTCTGTCCACTTCGACCGAGGCTTGTTGAGTGCCTAGGTAGGTCGGAAAGAGGCCGGCGAGCCTCAGTTTCATCTGCAGTGGCTAACACTGGCCCTATCCAGCCCTGGCAGTGGCTTTAGCAGTAGGGCTGGTTTAGCTGGGCTGGGCTTTCGGGCTGGGGCGGGAAAGCACCCTGATGGGGCGGAGGGAGAACCCCACCCAGCCTCCAGCCCCAGATCCTGTTTCGGGTGCCTTGCTCAGAGCCCTGCTCCCTCCGCGTGTACACATCTACCTTTTCCGAAAGAAGCAGATATAAAGTCTGGATATAAAGAGTTTCCCAAAATCACCCAGCCCAGGACGCCTCTGTGGGAGAGATGGGATGACTATAATAGCAGGAATAAGTAAGCCATTGCTTACTGTGTATCAGACAAGTCCTCAGGAATTGAATCAAATTGTCACTCCTCATAACTATTCCTGTTTGCCAGACTCTACAGGTAAATAACTTGGTCATTCAGGCAGCAGGCTGTGAAATCTGAACCCAAGATCCTGAGTACATCTTTCCATTTGTGCTTTGTCTTCCAAGATGCCCATCCTTGCAGAGCGCCCAGAGTGGATAGGAGGCAGGATGGTGCGCGGTAATGGGTTGGTTTGTGGAGCTCCGAAGAAGGGCAGAGGGCTTCAGAGAAGCGGCAGGCCTTCCAGGGTCCCTGCCTGATGTTTGGGAAGGGCAAGGTGTTTGCTCAAGGAAAAGTGCTGCCTGCAGGGATCCGCCAGAGGCCAAGAGGTCTGAGCAAGGCTGAGCAGGAAAATTGCAGGAATCCCTTCTGGTGGGGCTGGTGAGGGTGGGAGTGAGAATGGACGCCCACAGGTGTTGGTTCCTGAGGAAGGTGTGGGAATCTGAGAGAGGTTGGTTCCACCGAGCTTGCTCAGCAGGGACAGAAATCAGGGCCTTCTTCCACCCTGAGGAGGAGTTCCTTTTAAAGCTACCTTGTTCTCTAGAGATTTCAGGGAGGCTCAGCCCTTGGCTAATCAGTATCCCGGGAGAAAAAGGCTGGGGAGGGAAAGGGAAGAATGGATTCAAAGGTGGACTTTAAAATCAAACAGCAGGAAGACTGCTGGCCACGTCTGTAGTCCCACCACCCGGGAGGGAGGCAAAGGCCGAGGGCAGTTTCTAGTCTGAGACCATTCAGGGGTGTGTATTGGTGACATTCTTCCTCAAAAAAACAAAACAAAACAAACAAACAAACAAAAACCCCAAAGCTACCGATAGAGCTGTGTGGTGGAGTCGCTGGGTTTGATGCCCAGCACCAATGGGAACCAGGAGCAACACAAATTTCCAAGACTTTTTGGTTTTTTTTTTTTTTTTTTTTTTTGGTTTTTCGGGACAGGGTTTCTCTGTAGCTTCGGGGCCTGTCCTGGAACTAGCTCTCGTAGACCAGGCTGGCCTCAAACTCAGAGGTCCGCCAGCCTCTGCCTCCCGAGTGCTGAGATTAAAGGCGTGCGCCATCATCGCCTGGCTTGACTTTTTGGATCCTAATGTGCTCACCAATGTGAGGTGAAGGCCAAGGACCACATTTCCCAAAGCTAAGCGGACCACCTGTTAGAGAACCCCTTTTGGGAAACAGGCTTAGCAGCAGTTAATTCTTCCTAATAACCCTCGGAGGAAGTTAGGCGTTTTCTCCTCATCTTTGATGTGGGGACGCCAAGGTGAAGAGGTCACGTCGTGAGCACATTGGTAGAGCTTGTGTTCACTCGTGGTCAAGTTGGGCCTGAAGCTGAGCTGTCTTTAACGTGAGAACTGACTGATATCAGCAGGGAGACTGACCAGTAAACACAGGTGCCCTCTCCTCAGCCCTGTGGGATACACATCCCAACCTACACACATGTGCGCATATGTGTGCCTCATCAACAAGAGGAAGGAAAACAAATGGCGTGAACATTTTCAGATTGACCTCTGTTTTCCTTCTCTTTCTTTGGATTCCATAGTTACTCAAGAGAATGAGTATTTGCGGGGAGAATGATGTTGGTGCTAATTTCCTGAACAGCATAGAAAGGATCATATTTTTATTTATTTGTTTATTTAGTGAATGTAATGGCACACATCTTTAATCTCAGCGATGGGAATAGGGCAGAGGCAGAAGAATCTCTATGAGTTTCAGATCAGCCTGGGCTACATAGTGAGACCCTGCCAAAAAAAAGGGGGGGGGTCAATCTTTATTCTTAATTTTGTGTATTTTAATATGTGTATATGTCCGTGCAGCTGTATGGACATGGGTGGAAGTGCCCACGGAGGCCTGGAGAAGAGGTTGAATCTCCTTGGGCTAGAGTTACGGGCACTGTGAGCAGCCTCATGTGGGTACTGGGAACCAAAGCTGACTTCCCTGCAACCACAGAGCAGTCTCATCATTCGAGAAGAGTATTAAAACTTCACCTGTCAAACCAGGTGGTGGTGGTGCACACCTTTAATCCCAGCACTCAGGGGGCAGAGGCAGGTGGGCCTCTGTGAATTCAAGGCTAGTCTGGTCTACAGAGGTAGTTCCAGGACAGCTAGGGCTACAGAAAAACCCTGTCTTGAAAACCAAACACCAATCAATCAATCAAACAAACAAACAAAAAACTCTCCTCACTTGTACTGCCAGACTCTTTGAGTTGGTGACCTGATGGTGGCATAATGGGGAAAAGGGCAGAAGGTACTAAGGGAGGGGTGGCTGAACCCCAAAGGTCCCCTTTTACTGGGGTCCTGCTGTGTTAGAGCTTTCTGTAGAGATTAGAGTGACCTCAGAACCTAGATACCAGGAGGTGAGGAGGGAAGGGGCAGATGCCCAAGCAGAAGAACCTCAGGCCTTTTTCCTGTCAGAGGCGCCTGCTCCTGCCAAGGGGAGGTAGTTACTACCTTTGTGTGTGTTCTTCAAACTCACATCCGGTGAGCAAGAGAGAGGGAAACTACAGGGTATCTCCTGTGGCCATGTGGTCTCTGGTGGCTGAAAACAAAACCGTCCAGTATTTTGATTTTTTTTTCAATAACTTTTTTCATTACTTTTATTTATTTTACTTGAGGGGCAGGTGTGTGTGAGCCAGAGCGTTCACGGGGAAGGCAGAGACCAGCTTGCAGGAAGCCAGTTCTCTGCTTCCACTGTTTAGGTTTGGGGGTCATCAGGTCATCCAGTGTTTTAACTTTGTTAACACTTTATTATGAGACATTTACAAAATACATTTAAAAAAAAGAAGGAAGCTCACCTATTAGCAACTGGCTTCAGTGGTTTTGAACTCATGAACACTCTTTAAAATTTTTAATTTGGTGCGAGTGTGTGTGCGTGTGTGCGCGCGCGTGTGTGTGCGTGTGTGCGAGTGTACGCGTGTGTGTGTGCGAGTGTGTGCGTGCGTGTGTGTGCGTGTGTGCGCGTGTGTGTGCGAGTGTGTGTACGTGCGTGTGTACGTGCGTGCGTGTGTGCGCGCATGTGCGCGCGTGTGTGCACGTGCGTATGTGCACGTGCGTGTGTGTGTGCGAGTGTGTGTACGTGCGTGTGTGCGTGTGTGTGTGCGTGTGTGTGTGTGTGTGTGTGTGTGTCAGTGGACAGCTTGCAGGAGTCAGTTTTCTCCGCCCACCATGCGGGTCCTGGGGATCAAACCCCCTGCTAGGCTCCATAGCAAGCGCCTTTACTTGCTGAGCCATCTTGATCCTCACCAACTCTTTTCCTCAGCCCATTGCTCTCCCACGCTTCACTAATTCCGTATGCATTTATGAAGTAAGAACCCATTAAAACTATAACTGCTATACCATTATCGTCTTTCAGAACCCCCATTTTGGTTCTGGTTTTTAGCGGAATGATCTGTTTCTTCAAGAGGGAAGGTTGTTTTAAACACAGTTGCAGTTTAATGTCTGAGCAGGTGTTCTTTTCACCTTGCCCTCCCAAAGCCGAGCTTGAAAGGCCTCTCAGTCACTGTGAACATTTGGGATAGAAGCCACAGAAACTCCTTTCTCAGACTGACCTGGAGGAGAGAGGGGGCTGACTTGACTCACACTCCCTAGCTGCAAATGGGCCAAATGTGAGGGCCAGGCAGGAGGCAGGAGCTTCCAGGGGGAAGTGCTGGAACTTGCCCCTTGAGAGATCCAGGGGCCTGAGAGGAGAGTAGCTGCCGCAGGCTTTCAGAACAGGTCGGGAGGAGAGGTGACCACTCAGTGAGGCCTGCTTGCCTCTGCTAAGGGCAAGCATGGGGTTGGGAGTGCCATGGGTCTGTCAGGAAGACTTCACAGCCCTGACAGGAGAAACTGGACCCTCTCTGCCCCAGGCCTGAACCGGGAGCAGGTTTTGCCTGTGAAAGACAGTGGTGTGGTTATTCATCCAAACTATTACTTGACAACTGAAAATCGAGGACTTGGGATTTCCAGGTGCCCTTTAGTTTCATGGAATTATCAGTGAAGAACTGTAGGAAGGGGAGGGATTAAGGAAAGGGGAAGTGAGCGAAGATTGACACCTGCTGAGTGAGGATCTGCTAAACCCACAGTCTGGGAGGGAGCACTGGGAGGGAGTGAAGCCTCCCTGGGTAACCAGAGGGCCTGGAGGTGGGCTCTGGCAGAAGCTCCTTCAGTACCACACACAAAAACAATGCTGACTACCCCTGGAGGAAAGTGAGAGCCGCTCACCCCTGCTGTGGGATTTACTGTTAGCTTCTGGCTTAATCATCTAAGATTGCAGGTTATTCTTTATGTTTCACCTATCAGCCTGGCAAGGTAGCTCAGGGGCTCAAGGTGCCTGCTGTGAAGCCTAGTTTCTGTCTTATACCCACTGGTGAAAAGCGAAACTCAGTGGACTCCTTACAGGCTGTCCTCGGACCTCCGCAAGCCAGACATGGCCAATGGGCACCCCAGCCTGTGACTACAACCCCTCACCTACATTAAGTAAATGTTTGTTTGTTTTTGTTTCTTTTTATTAGATCTCTGCTCTGAGGTGCAGGAGAGGCATTAGTATTTGCCTGTGTTGTGTTGTTGGTTACAATGCGAACAAAAACTGCATATATCCACTTTTAGGGCTGTGCAGGTTAAATGAAACCCATGATAAAATGACTGTCACTTCGTAGGCGCATTCGTAGGAACATTAGTGTTCCTTCACAGTCTTCTTCCTTCAGAGTTTAGGGCAGTGCTCGTCAAACAATTTTTAGAGGGGAGAGTTTTTGGTTTTTATCTGCTAGGATTCCCCCCCCCCCAAAAAAAAAAAACTCAGAAGACCCAGGCCCTACAAAAATGATAGAAAAAAAATTTTTAGGTTTTCATCCTTTCTGATTTTTTTTTTTAATCATTGGATTTAGTCAATTCAACAGTGCTTTGGCTGGTTTCTGCACGTGCACTCAAGTTTTTGCCCACGTGGTGGTGGTGGGGTTGTCACAAACTGAGACCTGTGCTGGTGCACACCACCCTGGGCGGCACAGCTTCTGAGGGCGCTCTCATTTGTGGAAAGGGGTGCCTTCCGGGAGCGAAGCAAGTTACTTTTGGCAGGAAAGGTGTCAAAATGAGGGTCAGGAACTCTGGAAGGACTAGGTGAGCTGCAGAAGGGGCTGGCACTGCAGCGAGGTGGGGAATTAAACGTCACAGGGTGGAGAGGCTCCTGAGGGGCGGGACCCTCTCACAGAAGGAGCCTGCCAAAGGACACAATTCCCCAAAGCTAGCTTGGAACCCTGCTGTGGGTTTTACACAGAAGGGCAGAGCCCTGAGCAACCTGCATCCTTGCTAGATGTCCGCCACTCTCTGGGGCTGAGATTTGAAAATGAAGGACGCCTTCCAGCCCTGGGTTGATTTAAATTTTATTTTTGAGTAGGTGGTGTATTCACTTAGTTCAAACCAAAGGTGCCCAAGAGTGGAAAGCCCACTGCATCTCCAGCCTGTTCCCAAGGTTTTCTGGCGGGTGTGTGTGTGTGTGTGTGTGTGTGTGTGTGTGTGGTGTGTGTGCGCGCGCGCGCATATGTTTCTATCACTTGCATGGAGAATAGACAGTGGCTTATGACTGCCGGGCACTATTGTGTGCGCTGCTTTTTTCCTTCCTTCTTTTTTTTCTAGCTGGCTTGGAACGCGCTAGGCAAGCCTGAAACTTGCAGAGAGCTAATGCTGGTGTCACTCCCATGATCTGCTCACTCTGCTTGTTTCTTCAACACCAGGGGCTCACCATGTAATTCTGACTTGTCTTGAATTAGCTGTGTAGACCAGGGTGACCTCAAACTCAGAGATCTGCCTGCCTCTTCCTCACTCTGCTTCGTTATCAGTTTAAGTTTCTTCCACAGTTGTACATGCAAAGCATCCTGGGTCTTTTTTTTTTTTTTTTTAGATGAAAGGCGTCCCTTTTATGGATGTAGAGAATTTTAATTAGCCACCCATTGATGGACATACAGCCCGTCTACGTTTTTTGCTAGTGTAAGTGCTACTGAATGAGGAATTAGGAGTAGGTTGTTTTACATATGCAAACATCTGTAGGATGTTGCCAAGTTGCCCCTTTTAGAAGGTTCTTCAATTTATGTTCCCTTAGCAATGGATGGTAGTTTGAAAGGGGTACTTTTATAGGCAAGTCCTCAAAATGTTAATTTTTAAAATCTCGAGGTTGGTAGCAAAGGGTCTGATGAAGCCTCCCTGGGGCAAAAGCCTCATGGGACTGTGTGGCTGAGATTTGGGTCAGGGTGCTCTGTCTTTCAGAGAGGGAGACTGAGCAAAGGCCGTTATTCTCAGGACAGAGTAGGGTGACAGCTGTAGCTCTGTGTCTGTTGGCTTCCTCTCCCGAGAGCTCTGGGGTCTGATTCACCAGACAGGCATTTGTTATGCACTTCCATAGAGTCGTTTCTCATCCTGGGTGATGGGCAAGCCGTGAGCACAGCCCCTCCAGGCTGTTGGACTTGAAGCTTTGCACATGAGACTTCTGGCTCCCGTGTGTGAGTGTGTGTGTGTGTGTGTGTGTGTGTCCCTCTGTCACATGCAGCAGGAATGTGGCCAGGACAAGATTGGAATTTTATGGTGGTAGGAGGAAGCACAATCAAGTAATCTAAAGCTACTTGCCAGGTTATGAGGTGTGCAGGTGAGCGCCTGTGTGAGAGAACTCTAGGAAAGAGCTGGACATGTTTAGTGACCTGCCCTGCTGCACAAGAAACTGTGCAAGCCGCAGTCGCTATTTGGTTTAATCTTAAGAAAAGCTGCTCTGCCAATGCAAAGAACTCCAGTCAAACCAGATTAGACCGAATTAAAATGCCCGTGTTTAATAAATGTGGCCCTCTCGGGTGGACCAAGACCGCATGGCAGGGAGAGGAGCCGTGCAAACCCAAAACCCAAAACCCACGCCCACCCCCTATCCCCACCCCCACCCCAGCCCCCGCCCCACTTGAGCCTAAATAGCCTGTGGGAGTGGTCCTGACCTCCCCGGGGGAGGGGCCAGGGCTTGGCAGGTTGGGAGTTGGAGTTGGACCAACACAACTCCCAGGCCAGGGGCTGGGGTGAGGCTTCCAATCATTCATCCCTGACTCCCTGGATATAGGGGTGTTAGAGGGCTGGGGTCTCACTTTCAATCAAACGTTCACTCTTTGCTCTGGCTGCTAGGTCATCCCATGCCACACTAACCAAAGTCACTAAAGATGGGGCAGATCAACTGTACTCGACTCCAGAACCTAGGAGAGTGAAATGTGTTGTTAAGTCCCCTCTTCCATGGTTTAGCTGGGTGCTTTTTTCTTTATATTAAAATTCTTGCTCTGTCACCCAGACTGGCTTAGAACTCCTTGCAGGCCTTAAAGATTATGTAGGTTCGTGGGAAATGCATCTTTCATTTTACAGACCTGAGCCTTTCATGTGCTGGGTAGGGGCAGTTAGGGGCCCAGGATGTCTACGGTGCGTGTTCAAGGATCCTTGTCCTGTTTTCCAGATGACTTTGGGAAGCTGTTGCTAGCAGAGGCCCTTCTGGAGCAGTGTTTGAAGGATAACCACAACAAAATAAAAGACTCCATCCCTTTGCTGGAGAAGAATGAGCCCAGGCTAACCGAAGCCAAAGATCATCTGAGCAGCGTCCTGAACAATGGGAGGCTGCCGGTGAGTCTCCAGGCTATCTTGCTCCAAAGGTCAGGGTGGGGCTGGGGTATCTAGGCAGCAGGTGTGCTCGGGTGGAGTCCTCTGATGGAGAAGAGAAGGGGCAGGCAGTTCTGAGGTACCTCCTGTCATCTCGACCTTACAATCTGGGTGGTCCTTGAAGTCCCAGCTAGCCCACTTCTGTGGAGATGAGTGAACATTAGCCACCATGCTAACTTCTGCTATCCCCTGGGCTCAGGAACTGCAGCATTTCATCAAGGCTTCCCAGGTACTCTTTACAGTGGAATGCCATTAACCCCACTTCTGTGACCTGGGAAAGGTGGTCGCTTAGCAAATATGGCTCCTGCTGCGGTGGCATCTCAAGCTCTGGGGCTGACTCCCAAAGAATAGAATAGATACAATGGCCAGGAGACTAATTGGAGAAAGACGTCTACAAGGCTTCAGTCTCAGAGTGAAATACTTTCTCATCCATTCTTTCCTATTGGGCTTTTTGCGAGGGTACAGGGACATGAGGCAGAGACAGGACAGGGGACTAAAGACCTGTTTAGCGCAGGAATCTTTATCTTAAGCCGAGGATGTCTTATAGGCAGCTTTCCACTTGGCCAGCACCTGGGTTTCTGACTGATTAGGTTGACAGACCAGGAACACTTCAAATTCGGAGTTGGGGTAGCTGACTTTTAATATTGCTAAGCAAAGACATTAGGAAAAAAAATCACAATGTAGCAGTGGTTTACCTTTGCTCTGTCAGAGAGAGAGACGCCCTGACAATGAAGGTCGGGATGGATATACTTCTTGGCCCCAGGAGCAGCTTTTAAAATAGCAAACATTTCATTTTAGGGATCATTCACTGTGTTGTTTCCCCCCATCCCCAACTTAGTGGATACTGTGTTGTAAACTGTCATTAGTTCACAGGGGTCCACCAGCTGCCACACCCACTCATCATGCCTGGGATGTGTCCTTCTGAGTCTTGCTGCCCTGTGTGTGGTTGTAATCACTGCTCATGGCCTGTATTTATCTTGCTCTTCTCTCAGGGGCCGTTCAGAGCTGTGTTCTAGACTATGTCCTGTGAATGTCCTTGGCTTCCTAGGATGGGAAGCGGGGAACCTATCTGGGCTGAGTAGATTGGGCTGAGTAGATTGGGCTGAGTAGAGAGAACTGAACCTATAACTTGAGACCACCACATGGAAGGGCAAAGACGCCACACAGCTCAGAAGCGATGTGGACTGGATCCCTCTGGGGATGTGTCGCCTGTGACCCTGACTGGGGAAATGGGTGGCCTCTTGGGGGAAACTAACAAATGGCTTTTTAAAAAAAAGTGGTCAGAGAGAAGAGGAGATAGGGCAGGGCTCCTCAGCGTGGTGCGAGGCATTGTGGGAACTTAACAGAAGGGAACTTCCTGGGAGCTGGGGGCATTTCTAGGGGGAGGTGGGGCCGAGGGAGTAGATGAAAGGTTTTGAGTTAGGCAAAGACAGTGAAGGAATGGGATTCTACAAAACCAGAGAGACGAGTGGAGGTGGAGCAGTTGGCTTCCATGGGGCTTGGCTTTGCCTCATCCCATGTCTCTTTCTTGGTCTCTCCAAGGGAGGATGATGGTGAGACTGGTGGAGGCTCACCTTCGGATCAAGATACCTTGACCTACCTACCCACTTGTAGACTGGGAAATCACCCTCATGCCAGCGGGAGCGGTTAGGGGTTGGAACCAGAACTTCATCTCCTGAGTGCCCTTGTGGCCAAGGGCAATGGCCAGAGCCTGGTTGAAAAGGCCAGTTAGGCACAAGGCACAAGGTGCTAGGCTCTTTTTTTTTTCCCCTGGAGACAGGGGTTTCTCTGTATCTTCGGAGCCTGTCCTGGAACTTGCTTTGTAGACCAGGATGGCCTTGAACTCATAGAGATTCACCTGCCTCTGCTTCCCAAGTGCTGGGCCTAAAGGCGTGCGCCACCACCGCCCGGTGCGAGCGCTGTTAGGAAGTGAAAATCTTCAGAGTGAAGTAGACTCACATCTAAGGCTAGAGTTTAGAGCTCCGGACTATGGCCCAACCAGACCAGCTCAGCCTCTCTCCTCAGCAGTACTAGCTGAAGTGACAGGGAGCACATCCTCTGCTAGGGCGGTTGGCCAGGGCCAAGCGGACCAGCTGAGTCCCTAAGGAGGCCTTAAGGGTCCTCAGAGTGGATGGAGACTTGCATATAAGCAGCACTACAGAGAGCAGGTTTGGAGTAGGTATTTTGGGCCTTCCGGGTTCTTCACTTAACCCTACTATTGCTAAGATGAGGATGGTGACCCAGCCAGCTTTCACTTCACCTCTGGTCCTCTGTCCCATGCTGCTAATGTGCCTGGTCCCCCTTCTAAAAGTTCTGCTGCAGGGGTGTAGGTGCCAACTTCAGGGTCCTCGTGGGCTCTTTCTAAAGCTTTCACCTATCCAAAGACAAACACATAGGCATCCTCATGAATATTAACCTTCATCAGGCGATGAAAGGAGACAGAGACAGAGACCCACATGGGAGCACCGGACAGAAATCTCAAGGTCCAAATCAGGAGCAGAAGGAGACGGAGCACGAGCAAGGAACTCAGGACCACGAGGGGTGCACCCACACACTAAGACAATGGGGATGTTCTATTGGGATCTCACCAAGGCCAGCTGGCCGAGGTCTGAAAAAGCATGGGATAAATCCGGACTAGCTGAACATAGCGGACAATGAGGAATACTGAGAATTCAAGAACAATTGCAGTGGGGTTTTGATCCTACTGCACGTACTGGCTTTGTGGGAGCCTAGGCAGTTTGGATGCTCACCTTACGAGACCTGGATAGAGGTGGGCAGTCCTTGGGCTTCCCACAGGTCAGGGAACCCTGATTGCTCTTCGAGCAGATGAGGGAGGGGGACTTGATCGGGGGAGTGGGAGGGAAATGGGAAGCGGTTGCGGGGACGAGGCAGAAATCCTTAATAAATAAATAAATTTAAATAAAAAAAAATAAAATAAAGCTTTCACCTAATTTCTCTAATTCCACCTCACACACACACAAACACACAAGCATACCTGCATGGACACATTTAATTTGGCTCATTCCCTTCCCTTGAGTATTCAGAATAAGTTCTGAATTCCTGAGGAGCCAAACTAGATCAGAGCCTTGTGGGGGCTTCAAGAGAGAGGAGACAGGGCCCAGTTCTGCAGCTGCTTGAAGTCAGGACACAAACGCACACATACGAAGCTATATGTCATAAGCATTGCATTAAGAGCCACAGTGCAGGCAGTGGACTCAGCTGTGGAGGCAGGGGGGGCCACAGGCAGGGGGCCACAGGCAGGGGGCCACAGGCATCACGGAAGACACCCGGAGGAGCAAGGAAAGGGTCTTAGGCAGTTCATGGTTTATGGCTCAATAGGGGAGGAGTATCTTCATCCTAGGTACCCAGGAGGATGGGCATGGTGGAGCAGGGACCTGCTAACATGTCTTTGTACTTGCAGCCACAGTACATGTGTGAGGCCATGCTGATCCTGGGCAAGCTGCATTACGTGGAGGGCTCATACCGGGACGCCATCAGCATGTATGCGCGGGCCGGGATTGATGACATATCCGTGGAGAACAAGCCCCTGTATCAGATGCGGTTGTTGTCAGAGGCATTTGTCATCAAAGGTAGTTGTGTACAGCTGTTTGGACCTCCCCCACCGCCCAGGTGTCTAGAGCAGGCAGCAGCACAGGGCAGTGGACGGTGTGATGAGGGTGAGCCTGCAAGCTCATGTCCAGCCAGATGTTAACCCAGGCCCTGGTTACACGCTCCCTTTCAGGACAGCCTGGATCTCAACGCTGTGGACTCAGGTTCTCACCTGGGCTTTGTTGACAACTGTGTGTTACCAAACTGGATGCCCTTGGGCAAACTGCCTCTTCACCTTTCTCGGCTTCTGCTGACTTATTTGCAAAGGGAGGTTGCGATAGCAGCCCTCCCAGTGTTCTCATGACCAGCTGAGTTATATAACTAGGTCAAGAAAACCTTAAAGGGCATGCCAGCTCTTGTCAGGCCTGCTCTGGTGACTGACACTGCTGGGATCTGTCACTCCCCAGGTGTGGGGCCCCTGTTGTGAGCAGAGAGGGGCTGCCAAGATCCAGGGATAAAGACTTCCTGTCCTGGAGGAGCTCTCAACCCTTCCAGGGCAAAGAACACTCAAGAAGAAACTCAGGGGCACAGGATCAGTGAGAGGAATTTCATGAAGGGGACTGGTTCCTAGCTGTGTTGATCTCCGCATACGCACACACAGAGCACATGCGCACACACACATGCACACACACGCACGCACACACAGAGAGCACACACACAGCCCACTCTGTGCCTGCTGTTAGCCTCAGTGGCAGGGAAATCCCCTCCTCCCAGACTTGTTGAAATTCTGAGACGTTTGGACATTGCTCTATTCCAGTAAAATCAACCCTCAGAGAAAAGTCTAGATAAGCCACCTGTATTCCTAATGGGTTTTGGAACCTGGCACTAGTCGAGTATGTGTTACCCTCTTTCTGCATGGGGAAACTGAGGCCTAGAGAAGAAAAGTACCTTGCCCAAAGTTACCCAGATGGAGTGAGGACCAGAGCCTCCTGTCTGTGATGCTGGCATTGGAAAACGTGCGTTCCCTCCCTGTTCCGACACAGACACACTTCTCTGTGGGCTGTGGGTCCTCACAGGAGCAACTGTAACTATGGAGATGACCTGGACTCTGGCTGGAAGGGCCCTGAGGTCCCCGAGTCCTTTCCATCATCCTAGGAAGCCTACCACGTTGGTCTCCCTGGGCAGGCGGGCTGGAGGGCAAGTGCCCACATGGTACGACGCAGACTGTAAGGGTCTTCGCCCTCTGCTTGCTCACCTCCCTCTGTGCCTGGGGCACTGGCCAGTCTTGGGAAGTGGTCAGTTTTTGGTGCTCAGGTCTTGGGGGTTACTTGGGAAGCACATCAGCTGTGGAAGTCCTGAACTGAATGTCCTCTCTTGGGTCTCCTTTTCAGTCTTTCCTCCTATCAGCCTTGCTCAATACACATTGCTCTCTGTGTCCTGCTCTCTCCTCTCTCCAGCATGCCTCCAGCTTCTTGGGGGAACACAGTCCTGGTGGTCAGAGGTCCTGCCAGGGAGGTAAGGATCCGGCATTGCTAGTGTGGGCTGCTCAGTTGCAGGCTCCCCATCCCTCAGCGACTGCATGTGTCCACCCCTGCCCCTTGCCTGACTTCTCTCTGCTTGTCCCCCCTGACTCCTCTCTGCTTGTCCCCCCTGACTCCTCTCTGCTTGTCCCCCCTGACTCCTCTCTGCTTGTCCTGTTGCAGTGACCACACCTGCTGCTTGGCATGTTGGGGTTTGCCTGAGCCTGTGTGTGCTCGAGACCATGCACAAGGCCATCAGTGTGTGTCTGCTATAGCTTCACCGAATCTGTGGGATCTGGGGGGGTCTCTTCACCCAGAGGGCACACAAGGAAATGGGAAGTGCTGGTGGTTGGACTGACTTCATTTGAGTAGTGACAGCAAGAGCCCTGCACTCACTGAGAATTGTACTAATAGCCATTGCATCCTCACTCCAAGTCAGGTATGACCTCACCTGGGTCTGCAGACCCCTGGGTCTGTGCTTTCTTCCTCCCATGTTCTAGTTGAGTAGCTGAGGCTGGAGCTGGTGGCTCCTGCCAGAGCTCACAGCACAGAATTTGCACCTAGGCAGCCAGACCTCATAGACAACCTCTGATGTAGTCCTCAGAAGTCTAGGCAGAAAAGAGTTAGACCAAATCCTTGTGTTATAGATAAGGAAACTGAGGAAGGAAAGCCATTTACCTAGTACCTGAGTTAGCGTCTGTTGGGACTAGCACCCTCTGTACCCCAGAGGCCTGCTAGCCTCTTTCTCATCCTGGGTGGCCTCTGAATGAGCCAGCCTGACCCACCCAGTTCCAGAACTTCTGGCTGTCGTACTATAACTTCCTTTTTCCTTTTCCATTTTAGTCTACTCATGTTTGTGTGTGTTGTATGCATGTATGTGTGGATGTATGTTTGTGTGTGTATGTCTGGGTCTTCAATGCATGTGTGTGTATGCATGTATGTGGGGCTCTGGAGTTGGTGTTGGGAATCATCCCCAATTGTTCTTCTGCCCTATTCATGGAGGTAGGGTCTCTCAGAGCTTGCCCTGAGGGTCCTGTCCCCACTGTCTGAGTTGGGGATTGCAGGCAGGCTAATGTGCCAACCCAACATTTCTGTGGGTTCTGGAGATCCAAACTTTGGTCTTTTTTTAAAAATTTATTTATTTATTATGTATACAACATATGTATATTTATTTGTTATGTATACAACATTCCTTCCATGTATGCCTGCGTACCAGAAGCGGACACCAGATCTTATTATAGATGGCTGTGAGCCACCATGTGGTTGCTGGGAATTGAACTCAGGACCTCTGGAAGAGCAGTCAGTGCTCTTAACCTCTGAGCCATCTCTCTAGCCCCAAACTTTGGTCTTTATGTTTGTGCAGGAAGTCCTTTATTACTGGGCCATTTGCAGAGCCCAGGACGACAGCTCTATAACCCTTTTGTGGGGGTTTCATTTGATGCTAGGCTACCCAGTGCACACGTGGACTGGAGGGAGAGCATAGAGCTGCTGTGTTAGAGGGGAGCCTGAACTCACCAGCCTGACAGACCTGATGAGATCAAGTATGAGCAGCTCTTCTTCTGGGGTTCAGGACAGGTTTCTGATCTCTCTAACCCCTCCTCAAAGACGTGAAAGCATACCCAACTCACCGTGTTCCTCTTTAGAGCAGAGGGACTTGGCAGTGTGACCCTCAGAGCATCTAGGACATAAGGTACACTTCCTTATCGGACTGGGGCTCTTGTTTCTAGGGAGGCAGAGGGGCTGACCTTAAACCTCACTGGGTACCTTGAGAGAGGGCTGCCTATAGTCTAAGGATTCTGTTTTTCAAAGGGCATCATGTGTAATATGTATGTGTCTATAGGATGGGAAATACATGACCATTCAACTTCTCTAAGGGTAAAAGGGGGTATTGTCTATCTCAGGTATTGTTTCATTCAGAAACAATGAGGACCGGCCAAGTGGTCCTCTTGTTTGGTGGCATTCCAGGAGGGTGAGGGCTCTGGCCTGACTCTCAGTCTTCTGGACATTTAAGGGGACGGTTTGTGAAGAACGGGCTGCTGCTGAGGGGAGTACTTCAGATGGCCTTATGGTCTCTACTGGTGGAGGCCTTGTCTGTGACTTTGGGACTCCCTAGAACTCTTGGTCATTGCCTTTGACATTTGGCGTAGGATCTGTGGATGAGGAACCTGAGCCACAGACTATGTTTCTCAAAGTGCTTGGATCTCTTTCAGACCCTGAGGGGTCTGCAGGCCTTGGGACTTCCCTCAGCCTTCAGCCCTCAGTTAAACAGCTAAGCTGTAGGTGGGACTAGGGGCCCGCGGCTTCGAGCTCTCACCTGCAGGTAAGGGGCTGCTTTTCAATTCCGGAGCTGAGGCTATGTATCTGGAATTCCAGTTTTTCAGCTGAGAGTTGGCAACATCCTTACAGCTCCTCCATTCCTTGGCTCAGCCAAGCTGGCATTTGGTGAACCATTATGATGAGCCAGGGGTGACATTATCTGATCTATGGCCTGCTTGATAGGAATGACTTTTCAGAGGGAGAGGAGAGTGCTGATACCAAAGTAGTTAAAAGGCATTGAGGGAAGAGCCCTAGAGCCCAGGCTGCTGTGACTCCTGCCAGGTCACACCATGAGCAGCAGGGGCAGGATGTGAGCCCAGCTCTCTGACTCCAGCTTTGGCCTCATCCCATATACTCAAGGAGTACCAGTACACCTGAGCCACTGTGAGAGAGGGAAGTGATGGGCCCTACCTGATTGGAGAACCTTTTCCAGTCAGCTTGGAAAGTGACCTGAGCCTGGAGCAAACCATTGCTGGCTTAGCAGAAGAATAAAGCCCAGGGAAGTGGGGAGGATCACACCCTGTATAGGAGTATAGGAAATATAGGAGTGGATGAGTATAGGAGAGATGAGACTTCTGGGTGGGGTCAGGTGCCCCACTGAGAGGGCATTGGGAACTGAGAGCTGGCAGAGGGCTCAGGTATCATGGTTGGTGTCCTAGAGTTTTGACCCTGGGTTGCAGCACTATGAAGTGTTCCATAGCCTCTTCGCCCTCCAAAGGTCTGGGTCTAGGACCTCTGTGGGCCCAGAGTAACAAGCTGCCCTCTTTTCTGTGGGTCTAAACCCTGAGGTTTGGACCAACTCCAAGTTGCTTTAAGACCTGTTCTCAACATCTTGAGCCTGAAGTAGTTGGCACCAGACTACAACATCTAGTTCAGAGGGCCATTGTGTTCAGCTTCCTTCTCCTCATGCCTGTGCCGTCCATTTCTCTGGTACATTCAGTGTGCTGATGACACAGAGACCCCTGTGTCTCCAGGCATCCCCTGGAGCCTTCCAGACCTAGTTATTGCTTCTTAATTTGGAACCATTGTGGCTCCATCCTTGATGGAATTGGGGTAGGGGGTAGGGGTCCTTCAGGACCAGAGCTGCCCTCTGTTTCAGCCAAGCTGGTTTCATCTTTCCTGCCCAGCTTTGGGAAGACCAGCTTGTGGGCTCTGAAGAAATGTGACCTTTGTTCACATCTAGTTAACTCTAGGAGAGGGAAATT